CTAAAAGGACCCCAAGAGGCGCCCAGGAGGCCCCAACAGTCGTCCAAGAGGCCTCCAAGATGCTCCCAAGAGACCCCCAAGAGGTCCCAAGAAGTTCTCCGAGGCACCCAAGGCATTCCAAGAGGCCTCCACTGGGGGACCCTTCCTCTGTGTGCTGCCCACTTTCCTGGTCGAGGGAATTCCTTTGGGCATCGTTTCTGGATGGGCTGGTGGGTTACTTTTTGATCTGCGGCCCGCAAGGAAAAGTCCAGAGGGCGTGGTAATCGAGCAAGCTGGGGCACAGTGCCAGATAATTAAGCTGCAACCTGGTGGGGATACGCGAAGCGTCCAGCATGTTTTATGGCTTTCGTATGGTAATCGTATGGTTGTCGCATGCTAATCGTATATTTGTTTGTGTCTCGCATGGCTTTCGGATGGCAGTCTTATGGTTTTCGCATGGTAACCGTATGGCTTTCGTGTGTTAACCGTATGGTTTCGCATGGTAATCGTATGGTTGTCGCATGGTTTTCGTATGGTTTTCGTATGACAGTCGTATGGGTTTCGTGTGGCAATCGTATGGCTTCCGTATGGTATGCGTCTGATATTCGCACGGTAATCGTATGGTGTCCACATCATTATCTTATAATGTTCGCATGGTGATCGTATTGCTTTCGTGTGGTAATCGTATGATTTTCGCATGGTAGTCGTATGGTATCGTATGGTAGCCGTACGATTTTCGTATGGTAATCGCATGGTTGTCGTACGGTTTTGTATGGTAATCGTGTGGATTGCGTGAGGTGTTTGTATGGCTTTCGAATGGTAGTCGTATGGGTTTCGCTTGGTTTTCGTACGGTAATCGTATGGTCGTCGTATGGTAACCGTATGGTTGTAGTATGGTCGTCGTGTGGTAATCGTGCGGCTTTCGTATGGTAATCGTATGGTAATCGTATAGTTATCGTATGGTTTTCGTGTGGTTTTCGTATGGTAGTCGTATGGTGTTCGTATGGTATTCGTATGGTTTTCGCCTGGTAATCGTATGGCGTTGGTATGGTACTCGTGTGTTAGTCGTATGGTTTTCGTATGGTAAGCGTATGGTTGTCGTATGGCTTTCGTGTGGTAATCATATGGTTTTCGTATGGTTTCGTATGGTTTTCGCATGGTAGCGTTTGGTAGTCGTATGGCTTTCGCATGGTAATCGTATGGTTTTCGTATGGTATTCGCATGGTTTTCGTATGGCAATGGCGTGCTGTTCGGGCGCGGCGGTTCTCCCCCCAGGATCCCCACCACCTACCCTGCCTTTTCTTCCAAGGAATAAGTTGGGCAAACATGAGTAAGGTCAGCCCTAGTAGTAGTAGTAGTAGTAGTAGTAGTAGTAGTAGTAGTAGTAGTAAGTGCTTTAATGTTATGTTAGAAGTGATAACAAAACAGTAGTAATCAATTATAGCAATGCTACGGCTGCTTATACTATTACGAAAAATCAGATCGTTGCCATTTTTAATATTCGCAGTCGCATTATGGTCCTCATTCGTGCTCGTAGCCGCCTCCTGATTATTATTATTAATCATATTATCAGTACCACTAGTGCGGTTAGTCTTATGATTCTTACTAGTAGTGTGCGTATTTCGTATTACCGTAATATGTTTGACATTATTTGTGTTATCGTTATCATCACCACCACCAGCATCATCATCATATCATGTGATCCACCAGCGCTAACGCCCCCGCCAGGAAAGGACCGACGACAACGCGCGGGGGCATCAACACTAGGGGGCGGGGGAGACTGGCGACGGGAGCGCGCGAGAGAAGGAAAGTGACAAACAAATAACGGCGACGACAACATCCCGGGCGGCAAACACATTCGAAACAACTACGGCGACAGTCTCCCCGAACTTCCCTGACGCTCCTACTTATACTGGGGAGTTGTACCAGGGTGCAAGATTAGGGCGTTGTACGACTATGACTACTACTACTACGGCTACTACTACTACTATTACTACTACTACTACTACTACTACTACTACTACTACTACGACTACTAGTACTACTACTACTGCCACTACCACTACCACTGCCACTACTACTACTACTACTACTACCACTACTACTACTACTACTACTACTACTACTACTACTACTACTACTACTACTGCTACTACTACTACTATATTATTCCCCATATCCTAAGGATTGGGGTTCTTGTTATTACTCTGACGCCTCCCACTCCTCCTCCTCCTTCTTCCTCCCGCTCGCGCCTCCCTCCTCCCAATGATAATCACCAGATAAGACAAGACAAGATAAGATACTACAATATAAGATAAGATAGCACAATATATGATAAGGTAAGATAAGATATATGACAAGGTCGGATAACATATAAGATAAGACAGCCTATGGAGTAATAAGATAAGACAATATATGATGCGATAAGATGAGTTGATATAATATAAGCTAAGACAAGACAAGAGATTCCAAGATAAGATAAGATAGAGGGTAATAAAGGTAAGATAAGATAGGACTCGATAAGATAAGATGAGACTCACTCTCACTCAGACTCACTCACAGTCACATTCACTCACACTCACATTCTCTCATGATCACAAAACGCTGCCAGGGGCATCATTTGGGAGCCCCAAGGGGGAGCCACCCTGGCTGATCTCACGAGCCCGTTCGCGCCGATTTTGGTGGGACGTCTCAGCTAAAATTGCCGTTTGGCCTCCCCAACATGTCTCTCTTGAGAGCCTCATGGTCACAAAACGCTGCCAGGGGCATCATTTGGGAGCCCCAAGGGGGAGCCACCCTGGCTGATCTCACGAGCCCGTTCGCGCCGATTTTGGTGGGACGCCTCAGCTAGAATTGCCGTTTGGCGTCCCCAACATGTATCTCTTGAGAGCCTCATGGTCGCAAAACGCTGCCAGGGGCATCATTTGGGAGCCCCAAGGGGGAGCCACCCTGGCTGATCTCACGAGCCCGTTCGCGCCGATTTTGGTGGGACGTCTCAGCTAGAATTGCCGTTTGGCGCCCCCAACATGTATCTCTTGAGAGCCTCATGGTCACAAAACGCTGCCAGGGGCATCATTTGGGAGCCCCAAGGGGGAGCCACCCTGGCTGATCTCACGAGCCCGTTCGCGCCGATTTTGGTGGGACGTCTCAGCTAGAATTGCCGTTTGGCGCTCCCCAACATGTATCTCTTGAGAGCCTCATGGTCACAAAACGCTGCCAGGGGCATCATTTGGGAGCCCCAAGGGGGAGCCACCCTGGCTGATCTCACGAGCCCGTTCGCGCCGATGTTGGTGGGACGCCTCAGCTAGAATTGCCGTTTGGCCTCCCCAACATGTATCTCTTGAGAGCCTCATGGTCACAAAACGCTGCCAGGGGCATCATTTGGGAGCCCCAGGGGGGGTCCACCAGGGGCTTCATAGTCACCAAACGCTGCCAGGGGCAGCATTTTGGCTTCCCAAAGAGGAGTCGACCCGGGCCTCCTAGTCGCCAGACACTGCCAGGGGCACCATTGGGATTCAGACTCGCACCCAGACTCACTCATACACAAGCTCACTCACACTCAGATTCATTTCTTCAGAGTCAGGCACACACAGACGTACCCATACTCAGACTCACCCACACTCAGGCTCACCTAACCCAGACTCCGTCAGAAGCCAGTAGCGAAGAGAGCAGAGAGGAGAGAGAGAGAGAGAGAGAGAGAGAGAGAGAGAGAGAGAGAGAGAGAGAGAGAGAGAGAGAGAGAGAGAGAGAGAGAGAGAGAGAGAGAGCGAGAGAGAGGGAGAGGAGAGAGAGAGAGAGAGAGCGGAGAGAGAGAGGGGGAGTTGAGAGAGGAGACAGGCGAGAGAAAGAGAGAAGAGAGAAGAGAGAGAGAGAGAGAGAGAGAGAGAGAGAAGAGAGAGAGAGAAGAGAGAGAGAGAAAGAGAGAGAGAGAGAGAGAGAGAGAGGAGAGAAGAGGAAGAAAGAAAAGTGCGAGAGAGACGGGGGGGGAGAGAGAGAGAGAGAGAGAGAGAGAGAAGAGAAGCGAAGAGAAGAGAAGGAGAGGATAGAGAGAGAGCAGAGAGAGCGAGAGACGAGAGAAGCAAGAGGGAGAGAGAGAGCAGAAGAGAGAGAGAAGAGAGAGAGCGGGAGAGAGCGGGGAGTAGACGAGGAGGAGAGCGAGAGTAGAGCGAGTGAGAGCGAGAGGGAGGAGAGGGAGAGAGAGAGAGAGAAAGAGAGAGAGAGAGAGAGAGAGCGAGAGAGAGCGACAGAGAGCGAGAGAGAGCAAGAGAGAGAGAGAGAGAGAAAGAGAGAGAGAGAGAGAAGAGAGAGAGAGAGAGAGCGAGGGAAGAGAGAGAGAGAGAGATAGAGAGAGAACGAGAGAGAGAGAGAGATAGAGAGAGAGAGAGAAGAGAAGAGAAGAGAAGAGAAGAGAAGAGAAGAGAAGAGAGAGAGCGAGAGAGAGAGAGAGAGGGAGAGTGAGAGAGAGAGGAGAGAGCAGAGAGAGAATAGAGAGAAGAGAGAGAGAGAGAGAGAGACAGAGAGAGAGAGAGGCAGAGATAGAGGCAGAGAGAGAGAGGCACAGAGAGAGAGGCAGAGAGAGAGAGAGACATAGAGAGAGAGACAGAGAGAGAGGCAGAGAGAGA